ATAGCGAATATAATATAAGAAATTGAATGCATAGACAATCAATCAACATAAAATACATAAAAACAGTGCTGGGATTTTTTTCAAGAGCAAAAAAAAAAATTAAATAATTTAATATCACCAGGATTTGCTAAAAAATTACCTGAGAGATACTAATCAGAAAAAATTACACTAGCAAAAGGGTCGGCCTGGTTAACTGGCCTGAGCTGTTTTAGAATCGACTCAGTGCACGATTTTTTTATCGACCTGTATCACTAAACCTGCTCTTTATAAATCCTAGCATTCACTTTCATTAGATATTGGCATGATGTATTTTTTTTTTACAGAATATACCTTAACTTTGAATAATTCATAGCTCCAGTTCAAGTACCAGGTATAATATGGTTATGAAATTAAAGATTTAATAGCAAGAGGTATGATTTTAAATACAAGAAAGTAATATATTAATCATTCTTGGATCTAAATATTTAATTATATGTGAGTAAACTTATAAAAGTTAAATTACAGAGTTGAGATATTAATTGGTTCTTGAGATCAAGTCCTGACCGATCCTTACAAAGACTTGTCAGAATTGGTCTTTAAATCACATGATGGCTTTATAGAATTTCTATCCAAGATCGATTTTTGGACCAGATTTCTTTATAAATCCAATAAGAGTTTTATTTTGGGACAGTTTAGAACTAGTTTAAGACTAGTTCTATAACTTTGTAATCTCAAGGTTTGGCTAAGTTATGTCATGATTATAATACTGAAATGAATACAATTATATTAAACTGCTAGGATAAGGTTAGTACCGAACAGGGTTATAAACTAGTTTTTAATAGTTATAGACCAGACTTTAATATTCCTAATTTCGATCTTGTAAAAATATAATAATCATTAAATGGTAACAAGAAAACATCCAATTGCAATAAATATTTTAACTTATTGTAATATTTGAGTATCAATACAATTATAAATTAATCACATCATTATGTAGAATAATTCAATTATACTATTACTCATATTATTGATATTCAACAATAGTCTAATTAAGTTTTATTATAATTGTTAAGTACCACTACAATTACATTAAGCATGCTGTTTGAGAACACCCTAAATGCATTTTTATTTTATTATAAAAGTAGAACTTTTTGTTGAGTATATCAGAATTTTTTTTTTTTATCTATAGCAATCAAATTATATTTACATATGGCACAATTTCTATTTAACTATACAATTACTGCTTCTATTGCTGCTAAGGTTAACGATAATAGCTCTGGATTTTCAGTCTTTATGGAAATGACACCTATTCAGAGCGAAATAAATAAAATTTATCAAGATGAATATTTACATTGGTATTTACTTAGTGTCAAAGGCACTTTTCATCCAAATAATAATAATAATAATAATAATAGTACTTACACTTTATATAGTGCTCTTGACCACGATAAAACAAGATCTACAACAACTTCATTTAAGAAATTGTTTGGTTGTAATGAATGTAAAGAGTATTATACGGATAATAATATAATACACAACTATTTAGCTAGTACATCTGAAGAATTGCAATAGCATTATACTGAATATAGTCCACCTCCGATGGCTATGATGTGGTTTTTCGGAGCTGTAAATAGTTTTGATAAAGAAACAGTTATAGGCGAAGTTGAATTCGAATGTGTTATTCAGTTTAAAAACAACAAATATATTTGAAGAGATGTTTATAATAATGATGAATATCTATTTTTTGGATACAGAAATGTAATATTTTAATATATACTAGTATTACAAATTAATTTCTATTTCTCTAATTGTTTTTTTTCTAAACTTATCTTTGGCAATTTTTCATATTTATCAGTTTTAAAAACTTAATTATCTTTGGGATATGATATCCTTTTTTAGTTGTAAAATATATGGGCAGATTTATTTCCATGTAATTATCATGAGCTTGTCTGCTGATTGTTTTGCTTTTCTTAATATAGTAATAAAAAGTGATACTTTTTTTCAAAGTTCTAGAGTTTTTTAAATTAAAGTATGAAAAATTTTTGTATATGAGCCCAATGAGACCTCAGCTTCAATGATCCCAAAATAGTTTTTCTGATTCTACAATAGGTAGAACCTTTATTAGTAACAATATCAAGTTAATTGCGTAAAACTAGAATCGACTACAAATTTGCAGGTTATGTAAGAAAAATGCCGCTGCTATTAGTCATAAATATATGAAAATGCAACAATATAACAATAACTCGAGATTATATTGGGAAAATTAAAAATCATACATACTCTACATGCAATTGTGGCAGTTGCACTACTCACATGACCCGCAAATTTGAAGGCCGCCCTGGTCGATTCTGCAAAACTATTGCTATGTAATTATATACAATCTACGGTAAAAACAATCATAATATACAAAATTTTGGTCTTTTATCTTATAATAATATTAATGCTCATACTTAGATGTGGTTTAGATCAAATGAGTAATGTTTAACAATACGCCTAATAAAAGCAGTAGCAACAGAAAATTAGAATAGAATTAGCATTTAAAGTACAGTATATTAATAAAAAATGATGATAAAGCTGCCATCACCTGATTTTTTTCTGCGCCACTATATTACGATAATTGTTGTATATACATATATACGGGCTTTACTTATTTGTACTAGTAATACAACCCAAAAAAAGAAATTTAATTTTGTAAATAAACAAAGTGTGTAAAAACACAAATTTAGAGTTAGGATATTAATATTAGAAGCTATAACTATAGACTATTGCTTGTTATATATAAAATTTCGTTCTCAATATTTTTAATCAGTGTATCAAGATTGATTTAAATTTTAGTTTTTGAGTATTTTTGCTTTTTTCTTCTTTCGCACGTATTCGAAATTCATGTCTAGCTGATCCGGAATGATCAAAATTTGAACTCACTGATTGGCTATTTCCTTTTAGGAGTTTGTATTACTGGTACAAATAAGTAAAGCCTGTATGTATGTACTCTTTAACTATTAACTGTACTACTGAGCACTTTTCTTATTTTTATTTTTATATGTAATACTGATATATTTCCTTATTTGTATTCCTATACACTTATTTCTCACTTCATACTATGATCGACCGAGGATGTGTAAAGCATAATTAATTCATAATCTAGTTCTGAGCGAAATCACTAATTTCTCTTTTTCGACAATTAATTAACAAATGATTCTTTAAAGGGTTGCTAAAACCATAAATCGAATCTCGAAAACAAAGCATTTGCTTATTATCATTGGTTACTAAATCTAAGAACAGCTAATATAATATTCAACCAAGGGTAAGTTCTTGTGCAATCGATGATACCTTTTAATTTCTCTAAACCTAGAAAAACTGCTGTAAATGATCCAAGAATGCCATGTCGAGCCTATTCTAATGAAAGTATCATCATCTTGATATGGATATTTCAAGGTAACAGGCCGTTGTAAGAAGATTGCAGAGCTAAAGACTTAAGTAAAATAAGGTCACAGGTAAAAAGAAAAAAAATAATTATAGAAAAGGATTGATTAAAGGAAAGAAGTTGAATCATCAATAGAGCAGTGTAATTAATTTATATATATCGAATTAGACTCAAAATTTTGCCTTTAATAAAGTCTATCAGACTTCGATCTCTTATATATTTAAACAAAGCTTTTATATACTTGTTGAATTCTTAAATTTACTACATTGTTACTTAATTGTGAACATATCTTCACGATCTTGTTATCGTTATTATATTGTGAATACATCTTCACGATTCTATTATTGTTATTATATCATGAATAAATCTTCACAATCTCTTAAAGTTATTAGTGCATTAATTGATTCTCAATCTGTTATTATTATTCAACTTGACCGTTAAATCACTTAACAATCATCTGACTTTATTACTTAATGTGATATTATTATATTGCTTTTATTTTCTTTATTATATACTCTTAATTTATTACAATTAGACTATTTATATCATCCTTTGATTATATTACATCATCATACAGATATTGATATCCTTATAATTCTTATTGCATGTATTCTTTATTCTTATCTCACATCTAACCCCATATATTATTAATATCTCTTTCATTTACTATTGCTGACTTAAACCTAGTACCAGTTTACTGACACTCCCGAATCTGATAGTAACACCAGTTATGATCACTAACACAAAAATATTTGTCATTGATGAATGATGAAATTATTTTTTTAGGTGATTTTTAATTGACAAATTGACGATTGACGATTGACAAAATCTATTATTAAATTTATCATAGGTTTCATCAATATTCAGGAGCTTCGAATTTTACTAATTATCGAGTCAATTGCTCATAGAGAGACTTTTGTATGATTGGTTGTTTAAATCAATTTAATTTTACATTATTTATACAGTTTAAAGTACTTTCTAAAAAAAATCAAACTACGAAGAATAAACAAAAAGTATAAAGTTTTATTAGGGTTGTTGGACTCCATTATTAAAAATAATCCAAATCCCAGTTTGTTTTAGAGAAGTTAGCATGATAATAATCTAATTCTATCTATTTTTAAGAAGTCGCTATTATGCTAACTTCTCTAAAACAAACAGAGATTTGGATTATTTTTAATAATAGAGTCCTTTTAGAAAGTACTTTAAACTATATAAATAATGTAAAATTAAATTGATTTAAATAGCCAAGCATACGAAAGTCTTCCTATGAGTCAATTGCTAGGAGTTTGTCATTTGCCAGAGATTTTATCAATCACTAGAGATTTCGTCAGATGAATTATGAACATTTCGTCATCACAAAATAATTTGTCAGAGAATCATTACTTCTGACTAAATCAAAATATCATCAATTGTAATTTTATCAACCATTAGGGGGTTCAATAATTTTGCCAAGTGCAGGGTTTCGACGAGATTCTATAATTCCAAAAATTTGTTAATTATTAAGAGTTTTATAAATCACTAGGGTTTCGTCAGGCAAAGTTATAATGAAATTTTTGTCATTGAAAAAATAATTTTATCAGATAATTATTTTTGGCTAAATTGATTCAAGAGTTTCATTAATTGCCAGAGGTTTTATCAATTACCATGAGATTTGTTAGATGAAATCATAATTACATTACAAAAATAATTTCATCGGTGTTATTAATCATTATGCTCAAGTATTATGTACAAAATTGTGAGTAATAAATGATAGAAGTTAAGGAACAGACAAATATAAAATAGAGAGAAAATTTTAGTTAGAAAAGCATTAACCTTTTGTAATTTCACTAATACTAAATAAAAGTCATTTTTTAAAAAATTTGTAAATTATTTTTGTTTAAATTAATGAAACATATCAAACTTTAAACGAGTAAACCCAAAATTTATACCTTTAATATTATTCTAATTCGACAATGGCTTCTACTTCCAATGTGCAAGTATCAACACAAAGGCCACAGTATGGTGATATTTTAAACCTCCAATTGAAGAATTCAGAAAAAAAAAGCCAAATATCGTCTATGTCCAGATGACAAGTATCTTATCATAAGCAACAGTAGCACAACCAATCTACGTAATCATGTTTCTAAAATTCATAACATTAAAATCTCAGAGACAGTTAGTTCTGAAGATTTTACTGTTGCAATTCCTTAATCAAGTAAAGATATTTTTAAAGAAATATTGGTCAAATAGATTGTAACTAATAACCTTTCATTTACCACCATTAAATCAGAAAGCTTTCGTAAGTTATTCGAGATAATCAGAAAATTAGAAGGTGATATTATGGTTCCTTCCCCCAGGATGATCAAACATGATTTATTAAATAAGTACTCAGTTTTTAAAGAATCATTAAAAAAAATATTAATGAATAACACAAGTAAGATATCACTTACTACTGATATTTGGACTAGCAAGAGCTGTAAAGCTTTTCTGGGTATTATGGTACATTGTATTAATGAGAACTAGAAAATTAAGTCTCAAGTGCTTGATCTTGTACCGTTCAAAAGGTCTCACATGGTGAGAATATAGCAAATATTTTATTTAATATTTGCGAAGATTTTGGGATAACTAATAAAATACTTAAGGTAACTCTAAATAATGCCTTAAATAATAATACTTTTTTTAAGACATTTGAATTATAATACAAAGATGTCAATAGCACTTTTACTAAAGAACACGATCATGTTCGCTGCCTTGCTCATGTTATTAATCTTTCTTTACAAGAGTTTTTACATTATTTACATTCGAATGCACCAGATCGGGATGATAAACTTAGTATTTTAGATCAACCTACCACTTCCCAGACCCCAACCATTAAAAAACTTCAAAAGCTTATCGCCAAACTTCAGTTTTTGCCTCAGCGCTGTTAAAAATTAAGTAAGCTATGCCTATATCTCCATATACAATATAGAATTCCAATTCTTAATTTCAAAATGTGATGGAATTCAACTCTTGATATGATTGAACAAGCCATTGATATGGCACCAGCAATCAATAAGATGGTTGATCAAATACAAGACTTAAGTAGACTAAGTCTTTTGTTAAATGAATAGAATATGCTTAAAGAAATATCTTCACTTCTAAGAACTTTTCGTGATATTTCTGAAATATT